TTAACATATACGAAAAAAAGAGAAATTGAAATTATTTTTCCAATTCGAATAAAAAAAAAATAAAAAAAAAATTATTCAACACACTATAAACATTTAATTTCTAAAAAAAAATTAGAAATTAGTGATAAAGTCCATACTATTTACATTATTTATCAAATAGCTCACGTCTATTTTTTTTTCTTTTATTGTACTATTTTTAAAAGATAGCAATTTTTCCAAATAACGTATTTGACAATATTGATTACAATATTCGTTTTACTTCAGATAATGAAAAAAAAAAAAAAAAAATAATAAACTTTCATTAAACATTCATTTTTATATTTTCACTTCAGTCTTTATCGATATCTCAAGAGACTTTTTTTTCATTTATATATTGTGTTTCTAAAACTGAAACTTAATTGAACAATCGTTTCGTTTCCAAAAAAAAAAAGTAAAAAAAGCAAAACAATTCTTATTTCCATTAAAAAAATAAAGTAAGAAAAAATCTAAAATTTACCAAAAAATAAAAATGCAAAAATTAATAAAAAAAAACTTTTTAGGATTTTTCCACATTACTGACATACAATTTTTTTTTTCTTTTATTTTTAATATTCTGTGACTTTCTACGAAAACATCTTCATTTTTTTCTTAAAGATTAAATAAATTTTTAATACAAATAAAAATAATAATAATAATAATTCAATACAAAAAAATCTTTTAAAAAAGATTCGAATTAATAAAAATATATAAAATTGATTATTCTGAAATTTTTTAGTTTTTAGAATATTTTTACAATATTAATTGTCAAAAAAAAAATTTGCATTTTTGATGCATAAAATAGAATTTTAATTTTAATATACTTAAAACTTTTTTTTTTATACTGTTTATATAAAAAAAGGAATAAAAAATTTTAGATTTAAAATTTTTCAATAATTTATACAATTGAATATAATTAATATTATATTAAAATTATTTTTGAATGTTCTTTTTTTTTGGTAATTTAAGTAAAACATATTAAATTTCATTTTTAAATCAATTTTTTTACAAAAATCAATTTTTTCTTTTAAAGTTTTATAAATATTACTGGAAACAAATTTTATTTTTAAAAGTACGTTTACATTTGTAAACAAAAATTTAACTAATTTTGCAATTAATTTAAATTCAACATTTTTTTGTTCTCGACAAATTAAAATAATTATAAATTTTTTTCAAAAATTATTAATTTGTACCAAATGTTATTTTTAAAATACTTCAGTTATATTTATAGACGGAGTTTTATCAAACAAAAAAAGAAATGAAAGAAAAATATATTTTTAAGAGAATTTTAGATACAAAATATTTTTTAATTTAATGTAAAAAAAAATTACATTTTGAATTCTTGCTTTAAAAAAAACAAAAAATTAGTTTTGTTCTAAAAATTCAATTTAAATTTTCTATTAATAATTTTCTTTCTTTCAAAAGTAAGAATAATTAACGAACTTCAAAATTTGCTATTAAAAAAAAAACTAGTTTTGAAAATTTAAAACTGAATTTATAAATTTAAGCAAAATATTATTTTGAAATGTAAATTCTAATTCTCATTGTAAATTAAAATAAATTTAATTTTTACTAATTTTCAATTAAAAATGCATTTAATTAAATATAAATTACATTAAGGGATTTTCGATAAATATAAAATGAAATTTTTTAATTTCTTATTTTGCATTTTTAAATTTTTGTTAAATTTGCAAATAGGTAAAAAAGTGTGAAATTCAATTTTTTTTTTGTTTTGTATAAATTTAAATTGTTTTGAAAGTGTAAATTTTTGATTTAAAATAAATAAATATCTATACATAAATTACAAGTGAGTATTCAAGTACGTTTAAAATTTTTAATTATACAAAAAAAAAAAAAAAAATTTCATATTTCATTTTATAAAAATTATCAAATTCATTAGTTTGAACATTATTTTTTGTTTCAATAATATGTTTTCATTATATAAAGAATTAATAAATAAAAAAAAAGAATTGAAAAAAAAAGAATTGAAAAAAAAAAGAATTGAAAAAAATTACATTTTGTACAAATCAACAATTTTAAAATGTGGCCAAAAATTCTCTTAAAAATGTTTTATCTTTTTTTCCCATTAATAACGTTAAAAATAAATAATTACAGAATTTATATTTGGGCATATTTTATGTCTCAAAAAATACAAAATTGTCACAAAAAAAATTTAAAAAAATAAATTTTTAAACACATAAATATATAAAATATCAGTTGAAATAAAAAATAATAATTTACAGTTGAATACTAAATTTAACCATTTGAGAACTAGATTTTTTTTTTGATTTTATAGAAAAATAAGAAGTATTTATTTTTTTTTTTATTAAAAATTGTAAATATTAAAAAAAAATTAATTTGAAAATTAATTATTAATTAAATTAATTAATTTGAGAAAAATATTGTTTCAAACAAAAATAATTTGTAAATTTAACCTGTTGACCTGTTTATGTATTTTTTTTTGTCTCTCAAATTTATGTATTTAAAAAATATTTTTTGTATCCACTTTATTGACCTTAAAATCGTTCTCTGGCATAAAACAAATTTGAGTTTCTTTTCTCTTATTACTATTATTATTAGAAAATGTTCCCTTTTGTAAATTTAAAATACGGTAAAAATTTCAAAATCCCTAACATTTCTCGAAAATTTATTTATTTATTTTATAGACAAAGTCACACAGTTCCAAAAGGATGATAAATGTGCAAGAAAATGAGATATTTGCTTTAAAATTTTGTACTTTTAACTTAAGACCCGGTAAACGTTGAATTTTTAAACTAAAAAACTCAATTGCAAAGGGTTTAAAATTTTTTTTAAATTCAATAAAAAAAAAAAAAGAATAATAATTATTAAAATGTTTTTTTGAAGAAAAAATATGCTTCTCAAATTGTTAATAAATTAATTTTCATCAAATTAAGCGAGAAAAAAAGCAACAAATTGAATAGTCAGTAGTGAACCTATATAAAATTGTCGAATGAAAAAAATTAACAATATTCTCCGACTAATAAATCAATTTCCTTCAATAATTTTTTTTTCAAAAATATTTACATTATGTTTTATTCATATTCTCCAAATCTGAATTAATTAAAATTTTAACTAAATTTAAATTAATGACTATTTGATTCTAAATTAGTTGAAGTTTCCTAATTCGTAAAAAAAAAAAAATAAATAAGAAAAATCCATTATTTAAATGTTACTAATTCAAAAGCAAATAGTTAATAATTCAGAATTAGAAATTACAATATTTACAAATTTCAGAACCTAAATATTTAAAAAAAATTGAATTTTTACTTAAATTTTCTTTTTTACATAAAGAAATTATGTAAAAAAAAATTTGAATATCTGGCAAAAGTTTCTGAAATTTCTAAAGCTTACATAAGGAAAATATTTTTACAAAAAAAAAACTAAATTTAAAAAAAATCGATTTTTTCGAAGGGAATGAACATTCTCTCTCAATTTTTTTTTTGTTAAATAATTTCAAAATATTTTCATATTTTTTCAAATATTTTTTTTTAATTTGAATTTTTTAATCATTGACATTAATTAAGAATTAAATTTCAAAATATTAAAAAAAAAATCGATTACAGTCCAATTTTATTTATTTCAAAACATTTCCCGAAGTCAAAATAGACTATTTATGGGAACATTTTTTTCTAAATTCGCAATATTTATTTAGTATAGAATATTATTTTTCTTTTAAATTCAATAGCTTTTTTTTAAAGAAAAATTATTTTGCAATTTCAAAATTACATTAATATTAAATTATTTTGTAAATTCAAATATTTTTTTTTATATTTTTATTATTCGATTTGAAAAATAAAATTCTAGTCTTGAAATTTTAGTAGCAAAAAATGCATAAATCTTTTTTTTTCAAACAAATGTGTTCAAAAAATTGTTTGCATAAATAAATGTTTCTTTGATTTTTATGTTCCGGACTCTGGAATCTTTTTTTTTTTAATCTCACTTTTTTTCGTTTTTTAAACAAGAAAAAGTGAAATTAAAAAAAAAAAATATTTTTTACTGTGTCCGGAACATAAAAATTACTCTATAAAGAAAATCGACAAAAAAAGTAGAGAATTAAAATTTAGAGATTAATTCTAAATAAATAAATAAATAAAATAATTGGTAAACTACGATTCATATCAAAATGAAAAATCTCTAAATTAAAATATTATTAATTTCACTAAAATAATTGAATAATTGAATTTACCAAAAAAAAAAAAAATTAACTTTTTCTATACTTTACAAAATAAAATCTAAATTATCCAAAACTTTTGCGCATCTCTGTCAACATTTGTTTCGATAGAAAAAAATTACTCCTGAAATAGTTAAGTTTACTCTGTAAATTGTATTTTTTTTTTATTATTTGCAAAAGTTGCAAAAAATTATAAAAATAATTAATTAAAATAATAATAAAAATATTATTATTATTATTATTAAAAAAATTAAATTAAAAATTACAAACAATTACTTCTGAAATAGTATTTTTTTTTTACTATTTCTGTAAAAAAATATAATTATTATAAATTTAATAATAATATTAATATTATTATTAAAAAAATTGAATTAAAAATTACAAAAAATTACTTTTTGAAATAGTATTTTTTTTTTACAATTTCCGTAAAAAAAAAGTTGCCAGAAATGCGTAGAAATTCCAAACAGTTTAGAATTTACTCTGAAAGTAGTAAACAAAAATGACTTAATTTTTCTTTTCTATTTTCCTCCCTGCAATTTCTTTTTTTTTTCATTTGCTCAAAATAAAATTGAGAAGAATGTCCATTTTATCAAAAAAAGAAAAAATCACTTTTTTTCCCCCTCTTTTTTAGAAACGAAACGCTCCAATCACAGTTCCACGAAAAAAAAAAAAAAAAAAAAGAATTTATCCCCCTCTTTCACAATATTTGAAAGCCCGCGCAAACACACTCTCATTGTTTTGTTTTTGTTTTATTTTTTTTTTTTTTACTAAAAAGAAAAAGTAAAAAACGTGATAATCTATTAATGCGTCGTTTATTAATTTTTACAATAGTGTTTTCCGCCCAGTTGTTGTTGTTGTTGTTGTTTTTTTTTTTTTTTTTTTATTATTTTTTTTCATAAATATTTCATTCCTACAACAAGTAAAATACCTTTAATGAATATCATTATCCTTTACCTAAAGCAGACGACGTAAAGTGACACGATAATATTTGCAAAGGTTTTTTTCTTTTTTTTTTTCATTTCTTTTTTCCAAATCATTCAATTACACTTGCGAATCAAGCATTTTTTTTTTTTTTTTTCATCATTCGTACTCACACACACTCTCACTCATGTTCTGCAATAAAACATGTAAAACATACATTTTTTTTTTACACAATATCATGAATTCCATTTTTACACAATGTCATTCACTTTCCTCATTTTTTGTTGAGTTTAATCAGTTTTTTGTTTTTTTTTTTATTAATTAATAATAATATTTATATATATATATATGTATATCAGTTCCAGTGTTCTCTATCTTTCTCTCTCGTTGGCTCTGGCTCGTAATTTTCACTACGAACTACTCGAGGCGTTCATCCCGCTGAACATACCGGTTGTAAATGACGTTTGTTGCTGTTGTTGCAATTGTTGTTGTTGCTGTTGTTGTTGATGTTGCTGGAGCTGTTGTTGCTGTTGCTGTTGACTATTTGCCTGTCGGCCATGTTTAGGTGTTGGTGGTTGTAGATATTCTTGTCGCGCCAATGTAAGAACATCAATTCTTTCTTCTTTTCGATAAGCCAAACAACTTCTTATAAAACCTTTTGCCTCATTACTAACTGTTGGTTTATTTGCAAATTGTACCTCAGTTGCTTTTAATATTGTATTCTCCTCAAGAATTGTTGCTTGACTTTGATTATGGCCAAATGGCTTTTTTCCATAGAGGCACTGATAAAATATCACACCAACACTCCAAACATCAACTTTTGATGATATTTTCGGTGGATTTTTACCAACAACAAAACATTCTGGTGGTAAATACCAATATGTACCAGCGCCTTGCGATGTTAAATCCATACCATGATCGGGATTATAATTCTCCTCATCCATTACTTTACTGAGGCCAAAATCAGTGATTTTTATTTCACCGCAAACATTACCCTCGGTTAATAATATATTACCTGGCTTTAAATCATAATGTATCACCGGTGGTTTTATTTCGTTGAGATATTTAAGTGCCGATACAACTTGCATGACAATTGAGCGCGCCTCTCTTTCCGGTATTGTTTTATGTTGTTTGAGATAAAAATCAAGATCATGACCATCACAATATTCAAGTACAGTACAAAATGAATTTGCATCAATTTCAAAAACATCGTAGAGTTTAACAACACGTGGATGATCTAATGCCTTGTGAATATTGTACTCCCGTAAAGCATGTTTTATATAATTTGCCTTCTTATCCTCCTTCCAGTCTTTATTAAGCTGATGAACTTTACACGCAACGTAACGTTGCTCCTTGAGATCGAATGCCTTATGCACTTCGCTAAATCCACCTTTACCAAGGAGCATTAAAAGAAGATAACGTTCATTAAGAACCGGATGTGAATTAAATCTCGATTGATCCTCATTATGAATTCGTTTTAATTCACGTATATGAAGATTACGTTCGCGTTCAAGTTTCTCCATTTCGAGTTGTAGATCAGCGTCTTCTTTTTTAAGGGCATTCTGACGAAGTTTGAGAATTTCATCAGCGACATAATACTCTTGCCATGTGTACGAGCCGGGTACAGCGTCGGGTTTGAGGAATGTCGCCTCAGTGCCATTATGTAATGCCGATTGTGCCTGATTTCGTTTACGTCCCGTCTCTGAATTTGAGGGCCTTTTCTTTAATAACGATTTCTTTTGTCTATCAATTTCCTCGCGTTCCGTTGTTATTTCCTCTTGACGTCGTGCAAGCTCCTGAAATGCATAGCCATCGGTCCAATTCTCTTGAAACGTTGCACCTACCCTTTGTGTGACAAATTGTCCAAGCCTCAGTCTATTTTGCATACACTTTTGACGCGCCTCCTTCTTTTCAATGTTCGACTTCTCCTGGAGAAGTTTTTTCACAACTTCTATACACTTATTAATATGCAATTTTTGATCCTCAATGACTTTCTTTTGACTAGCCACTTGATGTTTTAATTCCTCCGCGGTTCGATTGAGCTCGTCAATTTTATTATTATGAAGCTCAAGATCAGATGACGCTTGTGTCTCGAGTTCTTGTATTAATTGGCAAGTGAGCTCGGTTTGCATTTGTTTATGAACCATATTACCAGGTGGCAATGGGGGTAATTGAATGTGAGATCGTGGTGGTTGCATTAGGGAAAATTCGGCGAGGGGCGATGGTTGAGGTGATATTAATGGTTTTGGAAAGTAGTCATTGATTTTTTTATCAATTGCAATCATTGGTCGTGAGAGTTTTGTGGAGGCGGAACCACCGCCTGAGTCATCAGCCTTGCGTCTTCTTTTACGTTCCGATGGTGTCCTTGGAACTTTCTCGGGAGTATTGGGATCTATTTCTTTATCACTGTGATTTGAGCCGGTGCTCATGTTAGAGTCTGAACTGTGTACGGACTGACCAGAGTTTACCGAGGACTGAGGTCCCGTCTGGATCTGTGACCCTACTGACGGCCGTGCTCCAAGTAAGCGGGCCTCCAATAGTTCCTGCTTCCTGGGGTCCAGGGCGGCCTGGAGGTGCTCCATCCTGACGCCAGCGCCACCGCGAGAGAGAGAGTCCGCCGGTTACCAGCAGCAGCGGCAGTCAGCCGTCATTATCCATCTGTCAACAAATTTTATCAATTAGTCCACTAATCTCATTTCAATTGGAAGAAAATTATTATTTCAGTTTTAACAGTTACACCACTGTTTTTTTTTTTGTTTTTGCCAAAAAGGTGCCTTAGGGTGTTAGAAATGAGAAACAATAATCATTATAGAGGTAAAATATTTTTAAAAGCTTTACATCCGGATATACGGTTCTGTATATCACAGAAATGTACGCTTTTTTCTCAAAATCAAGTTTTACAAACTGGCCGGTAAATTTTCTCCTATTTTTGACAAAATTAGAGCTAAAAATTGGTTTACAGCTTCAGAATAACATTCTTTATGGAAGTACGTAAAGGTTTTTTTTTTCAACAAAAACTTTTTTTTTCTTTTTTTATTAATAATTTTGTACCGATTTTTTTACAAAAATCAATTTTTTCAATTCCACAGATTTTGAGTAATATATTAAGAAAAAATTTGGTTTTTTGTTCTAAGTCAAAAACTGAAAAAAAATTTCTACCGGCCGTACACCTTACCATAAAAAAAAATAGTATTTATGGATCAACGCCGTCATTTTAATTTTTTTACCTTTTGAAAATAATTCAGGGTGTCTACTAAAAATCTGAATTAAAATTCTATAGGACTTTTCCAGGACATTCCAGGACAAATTTCTTATTTTTCCAGAACATTAAATTGGATGACTTTAAGGAATAAAAAATTTTTTAGTTTAACTATTGTTTTCAGAAATTATTAAAAAAATTAATTAATTACTTAAGTAAATTTTCATTTTACTTATTTAAAGAAATTCTTTTTCACTTGATTGACAAAATTAGAAATTTTTGTAAATTTAAAAGCAAAATATAAAAAATTCAAGGACAAAAATTAAAATTCCAGGACTTTCCAAGGACATTCCAGGACATTTTTTCAAATTCCAGGACATTTCCAGGACTAGTAGACACCCTGTAATTTTTTGGTAGTTTAATATGTACTTAACGATAATATATAATTGATTTTTCAATTCATTTCATTCTGTTTTAGAAAAAAAAAAGATCTTAAAAATGGGTCTGATTTTCGATCTTCACAGTGGTCTAATCCCTTAAAAAAGATTTCAATATACAGGCGCCTCGGATCGATTTTAAAAACCCCAAAAAAAAGTCCTTTTAATCGATTTATATTTCAAAAAAAAATCGAAAAAGTCGATTTTTATTATTTTAACAAAATTTAATTGGTTAATAAATATTTTACTTTAAATAACTAATGTTATTAGATATTAAATTCATTTTATTAATTCTGTAATGAGAATAATTCTATAATGAATATTATCAAGAAAATTTATTTTCAATATTTCAGAATCAAACTAATTGTAAGACAAATTTTCAAAATTTTATTTAAGCAGGACAAATTTCTAAAAAAAATTCATTAAAAGTTCCAGTTTTATAATTTTTTGAAATCTAATTTAAGCAATTTATTCGAATTATAAAAATTTTGTCATGGTTTTTAGTTTTGATGGTCAAAAAAATTTCAAAAAATACTTAATCAAGTTTTACAGAATTTTTAAATAAATTTTTTTAAAAATAATTTTGGAAGAATTAAAGTTGAAATTTTTAGAAATAATTGAATTTCAAAAGATTTTGTTAATTTTCAGACAATAATTAAATTTTACAGAATTGAAAATAATTTATGAAATAATTTTAGATAACATTTTTTAAAAGTAATTGAATTTTTGAAAGATTTACAATTTAGATTTTTGAAATTAATTGAACTTCGAGTGATTTTTATTTATTTATTTATAATTTAAAATTTTTGATGATTTCACTAAAAAATTTATTAGAAATTGTAGTCAAAAATACAATAATTTGAAAATCATTTTTAAGTAAAAAATAGTTTCAGATAGTTGAATTTTTGAAGAATATTATAAAAATCATTAAAAATAATTGAAGTTTATTGCAAATAATTAAATTTTCAAGTAATTTTGTTTTAAAATTTTTTGGTAATTTTATTTGCTATTTTTTTAAAATTCTAAACAATTATTAAATTTCATAAAAATTTTAATTGAAAAATAATTTAAGAAAATTGAATTTGTCAAGAATTTCATTAAAATTATTAAAAATAATTAATTTAATGAAGAATTTTAGTTAAAAATTTGTTAAATAATTGAAATAAAGAAGGATCTGAAGAAGATTTGCATTTTAAGTCGAAAAAGTCGCATTTTATTAAAATAAATCGAAAAAAGTCGTATAATCTGAGGTCTCCTTTAAGAACCAAATTATTTTCTTAAAAAATCACAATTTTTAATTTTTAATCAAGTTTTTCAGCGAAACTAATTAAGGTTTTTTGTCTCAAAGCCAGAGTTTAGAATTGGAAATTTTATTAGACCAACCTAAAAAATATTGGTCTAATATTTTCCAAATAAATAAATAAAAATAAATAAATATTTACTTTTAAAAATCAAGGAACTTAAGATAACAAAAAAAAAAGGGTTCATGTTGCCTGAAATTAACACTTATTTTCAAAAGGTTAAGAAGGGACACATGAATAAGCTCTAAAAAATTTTTTTTTTTAAATTATGATTTGATAGAATCTTATTCTTTAGAATATTAATTTTGCAGAATATTTATTTGTTCGAATGTTAATGTTTTAGAAAATGCAAATAATCGAAAATCAATTTTGCCAGAAATAATTCGATGAAAACTTCAAATTTGTCAAATCAGAAATTATCAAAAAAAAATTGTGATTAGTCGAATTTGAAGTTTCCGACGAATTATTTCTAGAAAATTGATAGATTTTCGAAAAAGCGAATTTCTACAAAATTTTAAACAATTGAAATTTAAAAAAGCTGTAGTTAACATTTATAGAAGTAATTAAATTTTTGAAGATTTTTATATAAAAATTTTTTTGTAAATTTCAATTATATTAAATTTATTTTATTAATTTCTCAATAAGAATAATTTTATAGGAATATTATCAAGAAAATTTATTTCAACTATTTCAGAATCAAAGACGTAAATTAAAAAAATTTTAATTAACAAATTCTGAAAATAATTCAATTTTTTGTAAAATTTCAGGCAAGAATGAAATTTTATAGAATTGAAATTAACATGTTTTAAAAGTAATTGAATTTTCAAAGATTTAAAAATTAGATTTTTCAAATTTTTTCCTGATTTTTGTTGATGAAAAATTTATTAGAAATTATAGATAAAAATTGAATTTAAAAATTTTTCAATTAAAAATTGATTTCACACAATTGAATTTTCGAAAATTATTATAAAAATAATTTAAATTAATTATATTTCGGAAAAATTATAGTAAAAATTATTAAATTTCAGAAAATTTTAAAAATAATTAAATTTTAAAAATTTAAATTTAAATTTTAAATTGAAAATTTTTAATAATTTTATTTGATGATTTTTTTTTAATTATAAACAATAATTGTTATATTTCATAAAATTTTTAATTCAAAAATAGTTTATAAATAAAAAATAAAAATAATATGTAAACATATTACAATTTCAAGAAAATATAAATATATAACATTCTAAATTACTTTAATTTCAAAATTTAATATAAAGTTTTTAATAAGAAATTATCGACACCGAAAACAATAGTGTTGCATTTCCTTATGTACATGTATCTTTCTCTCTCTTTCTCATGAGAATGCACTCTCAAAGTCGGAAAGTATCTCACAAAATGTGTGTATGTGAGTCGTGACCACGTCCGCCATTTTCATTTCAAATCAGAGGCGAAAACAATTTACAAAATTTTCCTCTTTTAAATATATTAATAATTATACGAAAAAAAAAACAGAAACATATTTTTATTTTTCTGTAAAATGTAAAACTTAACATTTTTTTTATTATATTCAATTAATTTCTAAAAGTAAGTAAATATAAAATATTTCATTTTTTATTAACATTAATTAATATTTCGAAAACAAAAAAACAGAATTTTGTTTAATTTGTTTATTAAAAGTTTACACTTTAATTTTTAATGTATAATAAAAAGGTTCCTTTATTAAAAAAAAAAAAAAAGTCAAAAATATATTAAATTTTCAAATTAGAGGGGTAAATTTTGAATTTTTAAACAAAATTTTTTAATTATTTTAATATTTAATTTACATACCTAAATAATATTTCCTCATTATTATAAGTTTCTTTAAATATTTATTTATTTTTAATCATAAATATTCAGTAATAATTATTTTATATTTTTTTCTTTATAATTAAAATGAAATTAAAATTTATGAAAAATAAATGGAAAAATTCAATTATTCAACATTATCAAAATTTTTATTTTTATTTATTTATTTATTTATTGAAAATATACGGGCAAAGCCCAATAAATAAATGAAAAAATTTTATTTCAATTTTTATCGAAAATATTTCTTAACATTAAAATTGTTTTAACGGAATAATAAAATGATAGCATTAATTATAAATATATTTAATGGCATGATAGTTCTTCTTTTTTTAAAAAAGACTTTATTTTTTAATATATTTTTCGAAATTCAATTTAATAATAATAATAATAATAATAATAATAATAAATAATAAGAAAATTTAATTAAATTTATAAAAAAAAATATTGCAATATAAAAAATTAAAATGTATCAAAAAGAAATTTTTTAAAATAATAATTTTCATTGATAAAATTACAATTATTTTAATAAATAACAAATTACAATTTATAAAAATTATAAATAAAAATATTATAGAGAATGAGAAATTTTTCAAAATATTTTAATAAAATGACAAACTCCATTGAAGTTAAAAAATTATGTTCTATATGCAATTTTTTTCGGTTTGTTTTGCTTTGGACCTTTGCAATATATAAAACCGAAACAAAACATGTTTTTTATTTTTATATTTGAAAACTGAAATGAGCCTCAACGTTATTTTCATTCGTTTTCAATTAACAATTTTCAGGGAGTAAAAAAATTTAAAAAAAGAAAGAGTTTAAAAATTAAATGTAGGTATTATATATTTAAATATATTTTAATGTCAATTTTTTTAGTGATTTAAT